ATAAAAACAAAAAAATCTCAAATCTTTTTTATTTTTTAATTTTTTTTTTTGAAAAAAATTTTTTTTTTTCCCTTTTTTTTTTTTTTTTAAAAATTTTTTTTTTTTTTTTTTTTTTTTTTTTTTTTTTTTTTTTTTTTTTTTTTTTTTTTTTTTTTAAAATAATTATTTGCTCTTTTTTTTTCCCTTAAAACTTACTATATCAATAAGTAATCATGACTAAAAAAGAATGGTTTAATTGTAAAAATACAAAGGAAGGTTTAACTGTTAATTGGGGAGATGAAGAAAATAGAAAACATATTGAATTTTGTTGTTGAGATTGTTATTATTATAGTCTGAAATACATTGTTAATGATTCATTCCCTGGTAACTTATTGGTATAGTTATGAAACTGCTAATCCTATATCAATTAAGAATAATTGCCTCTTGTCCTGTGATTATTCCCATGGCAAATACAATAATTAATTGTTATGTATTTATTATAATTGAAAACACAATGCCATGCCATCTGTCTTGTGCCCTGTGGCTACTCTCAAGACTGTTAGAACATCTAATGATAATGATGGCAATGAGTAAAGCAAGCTAAGAGACGAAAAAGTAAAATTAGTATTAGTAACATCACAAGCAAGTAGCTAAGAATTAATCAACAGCAATGTCATATTACTTACCAGGTGGGAGATAGACAAACAGAACTTTTTTTCTGGGACTTTGATCCTGAGCCTGTAAGTTGAAGAACTTGAAGCAGACTGCTTTGTGCATTCAACCCTACTACTACTGCTCATCATTGTTTGTGGCTTTGACTATGAAAACCATTATGATGGTTAAAATATGGCTGGCCTTTAAAACAAAAAGGGTTAGGAATTTCGAGTAATAAACTGTTATCCAATAAAAAGTCTCCACCAACCAAAGAAAGAAAATTGTCCCATGATAAAAAAAATTCATTAAGCAAGCACATTGTACAGAACAATCCAGCAGTATTATTAATCTACGTATCAGATTCGTGCATAACCTACCCCTCACCAATAGTTTATTGCATAAGAGCACGTGATTATTCCCAATACAATACACTTTAGATAACTCCCTAAAGTTTATTGTTTACGTGACGATGCAGTAATTTACTATTATCTTATATCGGGTAACAATAACAAAGACGCGTACACAGCGACCTATAAGTATCAAAAATCGATTATTTTGTTGTGTTAAAAAACTGACTGCACAAGCCGACACCACAAGTTAACTCTGTCCTCGACAAGCGTATTTATTTACTACAATTTCCGACAAGACTAATAGATAATAATGGCCGATAACGTAAACATTGCCGGTTTGTACACTTTATAAACAGCGTTCGTTCAACTCACGTTTAACGGAATTCAAATTTATTGTATATCTCTGATTCTTTAGCCCTTCCAAACACGTTTGCTGAGAGTTTTAAGGTGGAACCCTTACCTTTGCTTATTTCCAAATATTGCTCTCGCTGTGGTGTCACACCACTTCGAGGAAAGAATACGAAAGTTTTTAATACATGCAATGCTTGCTTAAAAGATGAAAATACAATGCGTTATAAAGGTATGAAATATGATTCGTAATGAAAAAAAAGTCAAAAAAGGAAGTAGAATTCGAGTAATCAGTTATAACCACATTGGGTCACAAGAACATGTCATCGTGGGAACGGTAATAGAGAAAAATAGGATGATTACATGTAGAAATTGTGAAACCCAAGTAGAACAAAACCTAGAATTAATCATGTATTATTTAATTAGAAACAAAGAGAAGAAGATTGGTAGAGACCTTCAAACAAGTCCAGAATAAATTCCAGAAATTAAGAGACGAAAAAAACCTGGCGCTTCGAAATCTAAAGGCCGCGCAAAGCCAAAATGCAAAGCTGGAAAGCCAGTTTAAACGAATGGAGAAACGAATAGCAGAACTAGAAACAAAAGAATGGTGGGATAAATATATATATGATTTTGACTACTATTAAGAAATGAGTAGAATCTGACTCTTAAGGATTAACTAAGACATACATAGGCACTCTCGATAAGTCGGACTTGTCGGGGCGGAGATTTTATCCGACTTATCGAGAGATCCGACTTATCGAATTTCATAATTTTAAATAAAAAATTAATAAGAAGTAATAATGCATTTCGCTTTCTTCCAATTTGATATTTTAGGTCATTCATTCTCGAGATTACTGTCCACTTTTATATCAAATATATTTTGATGCTATCCAAAACAACCGTATTGCTTATGGTTTCTTCTCCCTCTTCTCTTCTTTTCTTCTTCCGGTACTTCTTGTACTGCAGCAAAATGACGAAAACGATGAAGCAAAATTATTGGATAATTATTTATATTGTATTTACTAAAACGGTAAATATTATATCACGTGGTCCGACTTATCGAGAGTGCCTATGTACTTCTGGATAATGGCTCGAGTAGAAACAGAATTTGGGATAGTAATAGTAAATCAGAACAAGAAGAATGAAACAAAAGTAGCTTTAGGATAGCTAGTATTTTGAAGTATTCAAAGTCTTCAAATCGTGTATTAGTATTACTTTTATGTTCTGATCATATTGTCGGAGAACTATTACACTTCTACTACCAAAGAATTTGTTGTTGTAATATGAATTTTGATTACTTCTTGCCAATCAAAATTTTTCTATACTAGTAACACATACAGTATCATCTCAAAAGCCTTTGACCACTTACACTCCTTACATTTGTAATAAAGAATAATGTGCAGTATAAAATTTCTTAAGTTCAGCTTTATTGGAGCTATAATAGGATGTTATATTCCTAAACAAATGAGTGAAAGATTTCAGCAAACAGGTTATCCATTTGGTAAGTAATGCATCCCTTAAACCCCACACTGTTCACAGACAAAATGCTTGCATTTTTCGAGGACATTATTATTATCCTTGCATATGTATTAAAAAAAAAAAGGTTGGCACAGTTTTTCTAATCATAACAAAAAGTAATATATGTACATAGTAAACCAAAATGTAGTGTCAATTTATTTTAAATAACTGACTGACATCTCTGTGAAAAGTGCATAGTAATTTTCGGTCACATTTTCAATAAGTGCAGTTGTTGGTGTGACAGCTTCGCGAAGCCATCCAGAACATGGGCATTTTGCTCATGCTACAAACTTTTTGGCGGATGCGTCAAATTTTCCATTCAATGAAGATGTGATGTTAATGAACAGAATGCTCCATTGGTTTTTGGTAGACAACTTTGAATAAAAGTTCCCCGAGAGAGAGCGAATAAAATTGCATCAAATTTTTTACATCAATTCTATTGAAGGTGATACTTTCAGAGATTTTCGAGTTACGGCCAATTCGCATTACTTTTTAACCTCCCAACGTATAAATTCCGTCAAATAGATCAACTTTGGTATCATCAGAGAAATGAGAAGGCTCCCCCGCGTATCACGTCAATACAGGCTTGAACATACCGGTAATACAGTTAAGTCAGATATTTTCCCTCCATTACTCGTTTACTAATGCATAAAATCAATCTGCCCAAGATGCTCGATTGGGATACGGTGGCCAAGGCAATACACGATCAATACAGGCTTGAACATCTTCTTCGAAGAATGTTTTGATGTTCGTACATTTTGGTGCGTTATCTCATCGAGAATTACAGATGTAGGAACGCTCAGACATGTGAAACACCCCGTTATTACTTTTCGGGAGAGACTGTATATTCGGCATACGCTAATAATTTTCTGTCAGTGGGTTGAAATCGTATAAGATTTGACTCACAAATCTAATAATAATTAGATAACTAGCACTTTCTTTATCTTCAAGCAAAATGCGCTGGTAATTGTTAATCTCATAAATTCATTACATTATTCTATCTGTCAAGCTGGTTTGTATAATAATAAGTTTAATGTATATCAATCACGTGATGCAAGTTAAACATCGTGAGAATTCAAACAATGAATAGTCCTAATGCTATTCCATTCGCGGCGGTTTATTACGTAAGTAGACTTTTCACACGCTGCAAATATAGTATTACGTAAAATGTGCCGAACAAAACATTCTCATCGAAATACGTCATCACATAATCGGGGGCGTCTGCGGCGTCGCATTACTTTGCCTGATTATTACGCAATTTTTGCCCAATTCCGACGTCATGTTTAGCGAATGTCGAGCGTAATGTAATAAATAGTAGACATTTCTGTTGCCGTCCAGACACGTAGAAAAGTGAAAATGGGGGTAGCTGGTCGAACTTTTGTTGTAGCTACAAATGTGTTGACTTTGGTATGCTATAAAAAGCGAATGATAGTAAAATATGGGTTAATTATTGTAATTTTATCTCATGTCATTTGTTTGTTCGAACATTTCTATATAGCTGGCAGGTTTCTTTCTTATGACTTATGGGCTTTACGAATTATTAACACCTGATGCACGCCTATATTCGAACGCTCTCCCTCTAGCGATAATCATTATTGGCGGATTGGTGGTTTTAGTGTCGATCGCAGGATGCTGCGGTGCGCTTGTGGAGAGTAAACCAGTGTTGATTACTGTATCCTTAAATGGTGTACGTTTAACGCAAAAAATTTTACGACTCGTGATTTATGCTTGATTCTTGAAACCGATTTTAGTATTTCGCTCTTCTGCTGATATTAATCATCATTCAGCTAATATCTATCATATTAGCTTTGGTAAATACACAGCGTGTGAGTATATAAACGTGTTGGTGTTTCGGTCGATCGTCCATATAATCAAATACGTACTTATTGGTATTTTTCAATCTTCAGGTTGAGAATGCCGTTGATCGCGCTTGGGATAATGCGTATAGAACGCGTCCAAAACTAATCCGTGACATTGAAAACGAATATTCGTGTTGCGGATTCCGTAGCACAACTGACCGTGCAGTTCCGTCAAATTGCGCCAATAACACATATTTCGGTTGGGATAGACCGTGTTATGATAGTTTACGAGATTCTTATACGCATCACCAATATCTGTGGATCATACTTGGTATTGTTTTGGTTGTGGTTCAGGTAAATATCACACTAATTATGGTAGCGTCAATGCTGAGCAGGATGTAACTTTTTTTATTTGACCGGATAATATTACTAGATTTTAGCATTGATTTGTGCTTATCTTCTCATGCGGTGGATTCCAAATGCGTGGATGCGTGAGCGTGACTATAGAAGAGAACATGAGCGACTTGTTGATCAGGGGCGTGGTCAAAGTTCAGGACGGAGAAACGAGGAAGCCCCTAAAGCGTATGTAGTTGGGCGATCCGGGCCATATGGTAGCACGGGTTAAGTATGTAGACAGTAACTTATGTAGTTGTATTTGTAGCTGTTGCAAAATAAGCAACAGTGCGTACAGCATTTTGATATCCTCTACAAAATGAACAATTATTCGAACAAGGAAATATATCCGTTTGGGTTGGTTCAATGTGTCCAAATGTGTCCAATGCAATTTGTTAAATTTTGCGTGATTAGTAATCATGATGACGTCCGCAACAATATAAAATAGTATTTGAAAGAGTCGACCTAACTATTCAACTGTATCAGCATGTCAGCTACTGTACGTAGGTTGTTTATGTTGTTTATGTAGTGTTGACTTCATTAACCGAGTGCTCTCTAATGCAGAACACTTACAAGTTTAACGTAACCATGTCGTGCTCTGGCTGCTCGAATGCAGTCAACAAAGCGTTGAACAAACTCGAAGGTAAAGAGACAGTTATCAATACTGCCGTAATGAATGCACATTCTTGACTGCCTTTTGTACTAATGTCACAATGGCATAGCAAGAAAGAATCGAACAACTTTTTGTTGCGAATCTTGTTTAAAAATTCTTAAGCGGGCTGTTGCTTAGTGATTTATTTATTATACGATTGCTTCTGACCATACTTTATGCAATACTTATGCAGGCGTCGACAAGGTCGACATTAGTTTGGCAGATCAGACAGTGGTCGTCGAGACCAGCCGAACACATGATGAAATCTTTGAAGCGATCAAAAATACCGGAAAAGCTGTAACACCGGCATCATGATTATAGTCCTATGGATGGTTAACGAAAGCATCACCGATTTAAGTGAAGCAGACTTGTATAGGATATTTTTATTGACTTATAAATAAATCAATGTTTGCAATGTTCATACTGCAAAGGTCCTAAATACAATACAATTCTTTGGGTTCGTTTAAATAAAATGTTATCCCTATGGAAATGGTTATTCATTTACCTTGTCTAAAAGGGTGCTAATAATACTTGGGTCTGACAGCGTACTCAAATCACCAAGTTGATCCGACTCTCCAGCGACGACTTTTCGCAAAACTCTTCTCATAATCTTACCACTCCTAGTCTTTGGTAAATCAGGAACAATATAAATTTTCTTGGGAGCAGCAAATGTGCCGATTCCTTTCTGCACTTGCAGGATTAATTCCTTAATTTCCGTACTCTCTCCTCTAGGTTTAAGAGTAACAAATGCATGTACCTCTTGCCCAGTGATATCGTGAGCAACACCGATAACTGCCGCCTCAGCTACTCCATCGTGTGCGACCAAAGCCGATTCAATCTCGGCAGTAGACAGACGATGTCCGGATGCATTGATAACGTCATCCACTCTACCAAGGATCCAGTAATAACCATCCCCATCTCTACTGACACCGTCGCCTGTGAAGTAATATCCCTTATAAGGTTTCAAATAAGTGTCAAGATATCGATGATGGTTATTATAAACTGTTTTAGCCATCGATGGCCATGGTTGCTTGAATGCAAGCACACCCTCAACACCATTTCCATGCAACTCCTCTCCAGTAACAGGATCCAATATTACTGGATCAACACCGAAAAAGGGCACAGTGGCTGATCCCGGTTTAGTGGGAATGGCACCTGGCAGTGGTGATATTACGATTGAACCAGTCTCTGTCTGCCAGTACGTATCTACGACTGCACAATTACCCTTTCCCACAACTTCATTATACCACTCCCATGCCTCGGGGTTAATGGGTTCTCCAACGGAACCGATTACACGCAAGCTAGATAAATCATATCCTTCCACGTGATGACGACCAAGACGACGGAGAAGACGGATTGCAGTGGGAGCAGTGTAAAACTGAGTAATCTTGTGTTTTGCTACAACCTCCCAATATCTGCTGGGGGTGGGATAAATTGGTGTGGATTCAAAGACAACAGTGGTGCCGCCGAAACAGAGAGGCCCATAGACGATGTAAGTATGCCCAGTAATCCAACCGATATCTGCCATGCATCCAAAAACGTCTCCCTCATGATAATCAAAGACGTATTTGAAAGTTATCATGGCTCCTAACAAATACCCTGCGATCGTATGTAATATACCTTTGGGTTTACCAGTTGAACCAGATGTATATAATAAGAATAACGCATCCTCCGAATTGATAATTTCCGGTGGACAATATGGCCTGTGTTTCTCAATCTCGTCGTGCCACCACAAGTCTCTTGGCGCTTTGAACGGTACGTCTGACCCTGTTCTTTTGTATACTAACACATGTTCTACTGTAGGACACTCTTTCAACGCTTCATCGACAATCTTTTTGATACGAATCGTCTTTTCACCTCGTCGTCCCTCATCAGCAGTGATAACCAATTTACTAGAAGCATCTTGAATACGATCACGTAGTGCTTCGGCCGAAAAGCCAGCAAACACGACCGAATGAACGACTCCCAGGCGAGCACATGCAAGGAAAGCAATAATAGCTTCGGGGACCATTGGCATATAGATTGCAACGGTATCGCCCTTGCGCAGTCCGTAAGATTTGAGAGCATTAGCGAGACGACTTACATCTCGGAGAAGCTCACCGTATGTTATAGTGCGATTATTTCCTGGTTCATTGCCCTCGTATATGATCGCAACCTAAAGTGAACAAACGGAGCGTATTAACTTTCGATGCTTTAAAAATCCGGTAAAAACTCGTCTGCTTGAATACTTATATTTACCTTGTCAGGATTGGCGAGAGCGTGCCTATCAACGCAATTGTAAGATGCGTTCAGTTCACCTTCAGGAAACCATGCGATATCTCCGTAATCAAACCCACCAGAAACGACAGTTTCGAATGGTTTGTGCCAATGAAGGAGTTCTCTAGCCGACTGTGAGAATGTGATTCAATTGAATGCGATGAGACAAGGAAAGAAAGTTTGAATGTAGTTGATTTCCAAAAAGGCTGGAGTGCACATTATCGTGACCAGTTAAAAATTTCATCTGCTTTTATATACTATCAAGGACATTCCATATAATAATCGATTCCCACACTTACGCTTCCGACTCTATGTCTCACTTACTTTCCCCCAAAAGGCTTCGGGATCCGTAATACTTTTCTTGTACATTTTCTGATAAGCCTCGAAAGAGTCAATGTGAGGTTTAGGTGCCACTTTCTTTGCATGTAATAGTCGTTCGGGCACAGGGTGAATCTTGGAATGCTCGGTAAACATTGTCGACATTTTGGAGAGTGGGAATAACAAATTCACTGATCAAACTATTTCACAAACTATTTCACAAACTATTTCAGGGGCTGAAATTTGGCGAACGCCACAATTATTATACGGGGATTACAATTGAAAGTTTCCAACGAACGTGTTTGACGCGATTATCGACATACAGCGATACGTGTTTGCTCGGTCCTTTATTTGTAGTCACCGTTTCGAGATCACCTATTGACCATCCATACTATGTAGGTTATGATTTTTGTACAGAAACATATTATATCGTTAATTCTCTTAAATCCCATGACTATTTCATTCGTCGTTTTTGACTGCGGTAAATAACGTTCTGTCAAACACGTCGATTTTTATTGTGTGTAACAAAAAAAGTCCCCGTTTTTAATAATAACGATAATAGCTTGTTTGAAACTTAAATCAAGAATTTTATTGATATGGTGCACCAACTCTATACTCGACAATAAAACCACCTGTCTTTAAAATCTTTCAGCTCAACGCAGAAACGTTTT